ATAGTTTCGGGAACAAAAGCTAACAAGATCTCACTATTCAACTCAAGGAACATTGGATATTTTGAACGATTTGCTGCTATATTTTTATAACCATGACTATTTCTAATTTGTGAAAAATTATCAACAACATATCTCAGAAATCTTTTTTTCAAATCCGGCCATTTCCATGCATTTCCAAATAAGCTTTCTGCCGCAGTATTTATGCTCATTCCCTCGAGAATCTTTAATTTTGCCTCCATCTCTAAGTCTGCTATTAGGTATTTATTAGCAATTGTATAAAGGTTCCAAATATTTGGACAATTGTTAATATCTACTTGATCAGTATAAAGAAATAAAAGCATTTGCACAGCAGTTTGATAATCAAAATCCGGAATATCGATTGAATATTGATATTTTCGACTAGTCAACGTTTTGGATGACGAATTTGCAAAGTTAATTTCTGTTCCTCTATAATCACTAGAAATCGAATCATCTTCGGGTTGTTCATCGATTATGGATTGGTTACATTCTAACCATGATCCATTAAACATTCTTTGGAAATATTCCGAACGTTTTGCAAGAATTGAACTACTTGCAAAAATTGTTTGCCCTTGAACTGTAATTTTAACATCACCTGATCCAGGTTTTTGAAATTCATTCTTCCAAGCAGATATCAAAGTTCCGGGAATTGGTTTAATTGGGATAGGTTCATGGAATGATAATGTCCTAAAGAAATGATTTCCAAGTTGCGTACTTTTCAATCGAACTCCAATGGTAAGGTTATCAGTAAGTCTAGAACGTCTACAAAATTGTGCCATACCTAGTTTGATAAATTATTTAATAATTAATAATATGTATATTTCATCCAAACATTTTTTTTTGAAATTATCTTTTAAACAAATTCTTTATTCTACTTACGCAACCTCCGAATTTTAACTGCTTTAAATTTAAATCTTGAAGACGTAGTCATTTCTTTGATAATTGTTCCATCTGGTCGCTTCAAATACATTCTAGCAGGTAAACAATCATTTCTAGATTGATCATATTCATCTATTTCATCCATGTTACAAATTGCATGGAGGTAAACCGCACAATATTCTGGATCATTGGGTGATTCCTAACAATGATATAATACAAATAAATTAAAAAAAAAAAAAATTTTATAAATAAATTAAAATAAATTTAAATTGATGTTTTCAAGTCCCATTGAAACATGTTAAATGATTTCTATTGCATAGATAATATACTTTATAAACTATATGAATAGCATATAATGTAAATAAAAGAATATAAAGATGCTTACAAGTACAAATCCTAATTGCCAAAAAATATTTGGCATGGTTTCAAATCGTGGACTGCATATTTTGCCTTGAATTTGATGAACATTTCTCAATTCAAATTCAAAAGAACTACGATTTCCAAATCCATCCGCTGGATCGATCGTTGCAGCTGAATTGCTGGAAAAGAAAAAAAAATAAATACGTTCATTATTTTGTTCATTTTTAATTAATAATAAATATTGCAGCAAATCGTTCAAAATATCCAATGTTCCTTGAGTTGAATAGTGAGATCTTGTTAGCTTTTGTTCCCGAAACTAT